CACACTCCAATCTGAATAACACATTCTGACAACCTTTCACTCATGTATTTCACACACATTATAAAGCTATATTCTAAAAATATGAATTCATTATTTTTACCTAGGTAGGTAGGTCTGCCTCCCGTATTAATTAATAACAGTGACCTCAGAGGTATTACATTTGTGAGATGTATATTCCGGAGACTTCTTTGTCATCAGAAGGACACTCCTCTGCAGGCTATTTGACAGAATGTCTCAGAATTTATGCACGGAATTTGCCTTGCCGTTCCTCAGCTTTTCACCTTGAAAGTCGACTGCAGCTCAACCTCCGCAGCAAGGAGCCTCTGTTTCTGAGTAGAATAATAGAACTGAATAGAATGAGGAAGGATGACCCTGGTCAACACAAAGCAAATCTCGTGTACCAAGACTTTGTCTGAGTTTTAAATGTTCCGAGACATTTTTACATTTCTCGGAAGTCAGTGACTTCCACGGGCAAGAATGGATGAAAAAACATTAGTCTAAATCAGAGATGAAGTTTGATAAAAAGATGTAATGCGGTGTGACTCGTTTCTTTGCTCATTTCTATTACTTTAACGTACCATTTTCAATCATAAATATCCTTGGATTTCCATAATGAACACAACACCACAGTGGTTTGGTTCAGTTTCAGTAACAAATTCATCACTTAAGTTCTGTGCTGACACTTTCCTTTTTTTCATTTGTTTTCTGTTTGTTTATTTTTTTCACCACCATATGAAATAAAACTCTTAAAGGTCAAAGAGTCAGAAATAGAGGAAATGAAAATAGACCCCTGTCCTAAAATACCAATGCCTTTGTATTTGGTAAGGATGATGCATCTCTACCTGATCCTTTTACGATCCTTTTACTTCGACCTCTTCCCACTGCCCGACACATTTAACCAAAACAAAATCACATGTCCGGCTACAAAATGTTTGAGCACTTTCTCCTTTGTGGATTCAAGTGTGTGGCCTTGCTGAGCAGGAGGCAGCATGAAATATTTGAAGTATGGCTTGGGATCAAAATAGCTGTAGGCAAAGCACATATTGATGGAAAGTTGGAGGCAAAGAGGAAGAAAAAAAATATATAAAAGAGAAAACACATCAGTGTTTCCGAGATAATCAAAAAAACTAAAGCTCTCAGGTGTTTTAGAAAAGAAATTAAACATCCGAGTTGCAATGTTGTCAAAATGGCACTGACAGAAACCAGACTAATGGCCAGCTGGAAATTAGTCAAATTAGTTTTAAGAATTAGAGATTCACAGTCCCCCCTATAAACACTCCTGATTGTTTTAAAAATGAAAGTGAACATTCTGTGAAAATATAACCCCGCTTTCCACTATTTATAAAGATGAGCAGTATTGACTGTTCAGGGTGTAACCCCCCCCGTCCTGTACAGTAACCACTGAGATGAGTCTTCTTCACCTATGAACAAGATGAAAATGTGGAAATTGGAATATTGGATAAAACATTTGAAAAGAAATTGACAAGAGTCATTTATAACCCCAACTTTGAATAATCATCCTTGTACTTATTGTTTTCTTGCCATCGTAGAATGAAGTCTGTTTTACAGCAGTAAAAGCAACAAATCCTTCCCTCACTCTCTCTTTATTTTCTTATTTTCTACCTCCTTTGAAGTGTTCTGGTGCACCCTAGGGGACGAGCGCCTCAGACGTGTGAAAAATCACAGTACCTGTTTAATTAAAATCAAGGATTGTCACATGACATCTCTTGGAAGAAGAAGTATGTAACTCTCTAACAATGTAAACATCCAAGAGATTATCAGTTAGCGTTAGTTAGGAGTAATCTGGAGGTTATGAATAAATGTCCACTGATGCTGTACAGTGGATGTATGTCATGTTTTTACACTGACTCCACTGGAGTAACTGATTGTTATGGAGTTGGTCGTGATGTGTCTTCGGCAGGACTCCAGTTTTAATGAAATAAGAAAGCCCACCTTTTCTTTGCAGCCCACTCTTAGATGTTGACACACAGCATGAATGGCTGGTGGGTAGGAGTGGGATAAGATAAAGAATGCATCAGCCAACCTGCCTCATTGATCTCCTATAGCTCACGACGCTGCTGAGTGGTATTTGGTTGGTGCGGAGATTAGATAGTGCCCAACAGAGGTGGATGAAGTAACAGAATTCTATTATAGATCCTCTGCTTGTTGTACTTATGGTGTTTCTGTTTCATGGAGCAGTATTGATCTGGGACAACAGACGGAGAATGCATCTGGGAAAATAATTTACCCACACTGAGGTTTATTCTTAAATTACTCACATTGAAATATTTGCTCAATCAACATGATTGACAGAGCAGGAAATGGGTTTTAACTTATTTTTAAAAGGCAACGCCGCTGATCAGTGAAAAGTGGAGGAAGTACAGGGGAAATTTCTGGAATGTTGTTCCCCCCAATTTTAAACTGGATTTAAATACAACCACCGTCTTGCAGCAGATTCAGACTCTTTCTATTCTGCCACTCCATTTGAAATAATAGCTGTTAGCAAATTAGCTGATGACGGGCCAGGACTCTAACAACCCCAGGGGAAGGCTGACACCTAACAACATTGTCAGTGTAGGTGATGTGAAATAGGGAATAAATAGGAGATGAAATAATAGATATCAGGAATAAATGTTACGTACTCCAGAGCTGTAAATAAAAAAGTAATCCAATAAAAATTGATTACTTTAGAGTTTGTACAGTTCTGTGCAAAACTTCGTTTGATTTGTACTTAAGTATTTAAAGGCAATATACAGTAGAAAACCATTAGTTCTTTTTTTTTTTTTTTCTTTTCAAAAAGCACATGCTGCAGCCATTCAGGAATTTTTAATCATTAGAAGAATATTAGTAGGACTAGCATTAGCATTAGTGTTATTAGTTTCCATGGGCTGTAAACAAGCCTTCTGTCCTGACCGAGCAGGTGCAGCAGTTTGGTTGCTGCTCCAGGCTGCTCCCGCCCCGGTGATTTTCTTTAGGAAACACGGAGGTCCCTTCCTCAGTTAAATGTTCAGACTGTGCTTCTGGCTCATGACATTTGCCTTAAACTACTTGGTGAATACATTTACCATATCCTCCTGCAGTAAATATATACACCTGTCTGAAACCTTTCCATGGTAATCTATATGCATTATCTTATTGTTATTATTGCCATTATTTTATACTTGTTTTTTATTTTCCTGACATCAAATGCATTTCTGTTTGGGCAGATGTATGCGTGGGTGTAGTCTGTGGTAAAGACTGCTGTGAAAAGAGGATGTCTGTTATTTGATCACCCCTGTCTTCCTGTGCGTGTGTGCGTATGTGTGTGTAGGTGAGGTGGCTGCGTTCTTACTTTCTGTTCTAAAATCACACCAGCTCTTCGAGGCTCATCCACCTTGAATATACCTTAAACCCATAAAAGGGCCACTCCTGTATAAATTTGCATGTAAAACAGCGTAAGACCACTCACTTGGGTGGTCTTAATGCGTTCGCTCTCTCATAAACCCCGCAATGTCCCAAGAGCTGAGACCCACGGATGCTTTCATGGAATAGTTTATATGCACAGATTATTAAGGGCAAAGTCAGCAACAGCTCTGCAAACTCACTTCCTCTCAAATGTCTCCTGTGCTTCCTAACTGATACGGTAACATTGAAACATCTACACTTCTACATTTCTACATTTAAAGCAATTACCTCCCTGTTATCCATTCTCAGCTGTCTGTACGTCTGCAATTCAATTTTCCTCAGTAGCTGTTAAAGTCTGAGCGTCAGGAGCTGCTGTAGGGCTTTCGTCTGATCAGAGGTTTAAAATTGCTGATGCTGGAAATAAGACTTAATACATAACAGGCCTTTACACAAGATTCAATCAGTCTGCTGTTGCTCAAAACAGCAAGTCCACTGCTGACAGTATATGTAACAAACCTAGAAGAATGTATTTCAAAGTAAGCAGCAATGACCAAAGAGGTTAGACATCACACTTTTCACTCTACAGCTAAACATTTTTTTAAAAAAGTGTTTTGTATCACCGAGATTTCTTATTTCTTTTTCGCGTCTGGATTTGATTATGAAGCAAGCACTCGCAGAGACAAAACAAAACAAATATGTGCTGTGAATTCACTTACAGAGATTTGCATTGGTATTAATGCAGTTTCTGAACCAAATAAATGCTGAATGGATCTCCTTAATTGCCAGTGTGCAGTTCATTAGGCACATTGTTGAACGCATCAGATCAAGGTCTATTAAGCCCATGTCTGATTGGCAAGTGCTGGAATAAGAAGCCGGTTTATTATTTGCATTCATGTCCAATTGGAAGCTTCTCATTTCGCAAAACACATGCCCTCGCTCCGGCTGGAGGAGGATGTGATCACCTTCGGAGAGCCACGGCCCCCTGCCTATCTGTACCGCTTTGAAATAAAAGACACATTACCCATGGTTGAAGTGTTCGCAGCGGACTATGATCAGTTCATGGTCAAGTGTTTAGTCTGTGGCCATTCTAGATGAATAAGTGAATGGCAGATTTATCTAGATAGATAGATAGATCGAATGTTTAGATAGATTCTATCTAAATATTCGATCTATCCATCCATCCGTCTGTCATCAGTATAATGAACTGCACAGTCTAATCACCTGGAGATCCCAGCGTTTTTAAATACCTCAGTACCTGTGCAGACATGGTTAGTTTGAAGACTAATGATAATGTTAAACAGTAATGATCCCCACAGGCTAAATGATTTTGTTCGTGGCTGGGTCACACTCAGCTGTGCAGAGATGATCTCATGCAGACCTGGTCAAATGTGACAGGTTACAAAGCAGTTTCCATTTCATGCTCTTTATCTTCCTATTAAAAATGTCTCTAAACATGATGACACATACTTGATTTCATCCTTGTCAAAATATTTTTTAAGCATCTCAGCGGTAATTCCTTCATCATGAAAACTCAGTACTCTCCTCGTTGTGTCTCACCAAAAGGGACCTCAGGTGGTGCTGTTGTCCTGACAACCAATAAGGGGAGCATCATAGTGTGAGCAGGATACACTGAGAGAGAGAGAGAGAGAGGGAGAGAGGGAGGGGGAGAAAGAGGAGGGAGGCAGGGGTGGGCAATGGGGGAGAGTGAATCTCTCAGACCCTGAACAGAAGCTTGCTTCTCTTCATCATCACCGCTGCTGGTTCGCTGTCCCCTTTGCGCGGAGAGCATTACGCATCAGGGGGAGATAAGGAGTTAGAAAGCTGCACCGCCTGCCGCGCTTTCGTTCTTAAAGTATTTTCGGAAAATCTTAATCCGGACTGCCTTGGATCTAGGAGCATCAAACGTTAAATGAGAACTCTGGAAAACTACTAATTTCCCACATTATTGCTTTTTTAAACCACTGGATCTATCGCTCCTTCCATAAGTCGCGCTCCTGTTCTTTAAAGATGCCATCCGGACGCAAATCGTGCTGGAGGGATTTGCAGGCGTCTTTTTTCAGACTGCTCTGTCTTATCCCCACAGGATTCCCTGTCCGGAGTGTGGATATGCAGCGGGCCACCGACAACATCACCATCCGTCAGGGCGACACGGCGATCATAAGGTAAGAGGCGTCTTTCAACTTTTCTCTCCTCACCTCCGCCTCCGGATGCGCAGCTGCGGCTGCGTCGACATCTAGAAAAGAAAAACAGTGCCCCGTTAGAACGCTGCCAGACTGACCGTTATCAAGAAGCTGCATGGATGAGGGTTGATTCACCTGCAACAACTTTGTCCTAATTCACAGTTAACTGCTGCAAACTAAAGTAAATACAGTAGTCGGTAACCCGACTTAGTCGATGTGGAAGACCTCTAACTATGACACAATTATTTATTTATTATCTTACCCACATTCCTAATGAGGTGCTGTTTTAAATCAATTACTGTAACAATAACAGTGGTCATTCATTATGACTGCAGTTTTAACCCTAAATAAAGCACAGTGTCAATCAAAGTGTCCACAGATGCTTTAATGTCAATTACCATCGTGAGAGAAGTTGTGTAGAATGTAATGCAATAGAATACAACAGAGAAGATGTTGCAATGCAATAGAATACAACAGAGAAGATGCCAATGCAAATGTCAATGCAAAAATACAGCAGTACAGTGTATCACAATTAGGGCTAGTAGGAATGTAAAGTTTATTTTTTTAAATAAAAGTCAGGTTAAAACTCACAAAGTGCTTAACAGTGTTATATTTAAACGTTAGCAGTCAAGACACCGCATGCTACAAAACCCAGGTATGCACTCAGGTATGTGTAAACAAAGGATAAAAGCATTTAAGTAGGGCAAAGACCAGGAGTTCTTAAAAGACAAACAGATGAGACAGGGATGAGAGCTGAGTGTTTTGATTTCAGGAATCTGTGTGGGATGTTTTAACATAAGCAGCCTGCAGGGGACACATTAAGAAGATGCAGAAATTCACTGTCCACATAATGATAATGTCTTGTTAATGTAGAGTCTGGAGTATATGAAGTAGTCCATTCCAAATTCCACTTTTATTATGAGGATCTTGATGTTATTCCGACTCCATAATGGCCTCCACTTAATCACTTTGCAGACAATGTGAGCTGTCAGCTGTGGCATTGGGATATTACTCGCCAGATGTCATTGACAATGTGACCCAAATCATTTGTTTGTGAAGGAGCACCCCCCACCCCCCGCACTAAGCTCACACTGAGTCGCAGTAGTGTCCAATTTTTTCCTCTCCACCTTTGGACCTGGGGTGATCTCCAAAAGGAAGTTGGTCGGTATATTAGGCTGCACACCGAACACTCAATCGCATTGATTTTCTCCTCTCTCTCCCTCACACTTTGCTTGTCCTCTCCCCCATTCTCTGGCTGTATTTACAGTTCCACCACCCAGGCTCGACTAATGAGAGTGAGAATGTAGAATGCAATTATAGGATAGACCTTTAACACGGCCTGTTGAAAACAGACACAGCCACGGCTGCTCACGTGTTCCTGCTCATCGAGGACTCACAAACATGCACACGGACAAAAAAACATCACACACACATTCAACATTTTAAGGATTCCTTAAATGGATTCCCCTCTGGCAAACAGGTGCCATCCATTCAGATACCTGCTGATCAAATTAGTCAATTGACTCAGTTACTGTTGAACACAGCAGGGAGTCGCAGCTATTTGTTTCACTTTCCAAATCCAATTGGCTGCGTCTTAGCTACACAAAGCCATTTAGTCACCCAGCCAGTCTGCTCACTGTGTCTAAAGGTGGCAGCAGGCTTGGCATTGACACAGACCTAAATTGGATTTGTCTTTCTTGGAAAATACCTCAGTCCACTTGTGTAGTATTATCGCTGAAACTAGTAAACAAATTGTTGAACAATTATCCGTGATGACAACTCACTAATTTGTCATAATGAACCCGATGTTTATCATCCCTCACAATTGCTGCAACACTGTTGTGTTTCATCCATTGACTGGTGATGTGGACCACCGTGGGTCCGTGGAAAACAACGGCACATTTTTCACACCCAGTTTCCATTCAACAAATGAGAGACTGGAGGAGGAGTAGGAAGAGAACAATACATAAAGGCCGGAACTTTGAGCAGAGGTGGGAGGCCAACGGCTAGCAATTTGTTGAGCTACATGGAGTATCTGGTTCCATGAGCTGGGCTGTGTGGATGCTGAGGGGATACTAGTGTCCTGGGGGTGTAATAAGGATTGTGCTGTGTTAGTGGAGCCTGTGGCTGCAGTGGTGACATTCATGGCACAAGGGGAGAGATGCTGGAGTAGGAAAAACAACATGTGGCAAAACAACTATTGTGTCAGGCTTTGCATTTCAAAATGGGAAAGGCTCTTTTTCAAGCAGCAGCCCATAACTGTGTCACAGTGAATTCATCCAAAACTATATATTCCTGGCCGTCAGCACTTTTTATTACTACTACACAGCATCCGTCCTCCCACTTGTATGTTACGTTTGGAACATTTTTAAACAATTTTGTCTTGAGTTTGTTTTGGATTTTTTACATATATGTCAAATTGATCGCCTTTTTATTACCTGTTTTTGACTACATTTTATAGATGAAATTGAAAATGCAGCTGGACCAGGCCCCAGATATGCAGTGGTATTTCGAGCTCCTCTCAGTATCTTATTCTCCTTCAGACTCAATCAAAAGTGAACATAAACCTAATACCGACTCATCCCCACAGGCTGTAGGTGTTTATTTGAGACCTAAATTGATTTTCGCTAGCTCATCTCCTGTCATACAAGGTAGAAATTCAGAGGTAGGTAGCTTTCCTCTCAGTCAGCAACTCACATGGCGAGTCAGAGACTCTAAATGTTTGAGCTTTCACCTAAGCAGGTCGTAAAGGGGTTAATCTGCAAGAGATTACTCTGCTAAACAGTCAGACTTATGTAAACATTTTTACACCAGTTGAAGTGTGAAGTGAGTTAGAGCCTCATCTGCTGTGGTACAACCTCCCTGAGATTAAACTTCAGTAACTAAATAAGTCGTATCGTTTCTCTGAAACCTAAGTCTTATAAATCATGCTTAACTCAGAAAGACGCCTGCAGACCGTGGCACTCTGTCCTGAGATCCACGCTGCATGAGTAATCTAGCCGTTCCATACTGAGTTCCCAGATTACCATCAACCACATGGGGAACATCTCCTTGAACCCTTGTACCTACGTTAAGTGACATTTGCCTTCGGAATGCAATTAAATTTGAGTCCCAACACATTAAATGCCGGTCTGTTTCCCAGCAGTCGTGTTTGAGACCTAAAAGATTTACATCGGTAAAAACACACCACATTTTTAGAGCCTGTTTACCACGGTGAATAATCCCTTCTTTCTATTAGGGATGATGACATCAAACATTCCTCGTCTTGAATGAATTGCAGAGTAAATATGAAAAGCAGACAAAACAAAACAAGTTTCTCTGAATTTCTTCAAACTGTTCTTCTGTCAGAAAAGTTCCAAGTCAGACACTTTGAAGTTTGCAGCGTCATGGCAAAAATCCTAATAATTGACAATTGCTTATTAAAGAATTAATGACACACTCTTTGAGACTGAACTCTCCGGGGACAATTATCCCTGTTTGGACAGTGTCTGTGTCCAGCTTGTTACTTGGAGAACAGATGATTCTGCAGTTGTTTTTTGCCCCTGGAGGATCTTTGTAGAAAACCAAACCCAGTTTTCTTCTTCAAACAGATGTGCACATAGAATTTTCTGCGAGTTCAGCCACCTCAAAAACAAATCCTAATGTTGGTCTTATTGTAGTTGGGATGGTGGTTCGATAGTCACACAAATGTGAAAACAGACGTATGAAGGTCTCTGCATCTTTGATGTCTGGTGCATCTGAGTGATGTGGTGAACATTAGCTACACCTCAAAGAAACACAGCTTTCCAACATGGAAATAAAAAGATTCTAGATGGATGAAAATTACAGTAGCTATCACTCGGGGTGTATTCAGCTGCAAGGAAAGGTAATGACATGTTTCTGCAGAACACCATGCATCAGTTTCTCAAACCGCCTCAGGCGGATGACCTTACTGTTTGGAGATTAGTTCACATGGCCTCAGAGTGTATCGGTAGTTTTCTCTGAGTCATTTCGTCTCACAGTCCAAACAGAAGGACAAGACTTGAGTTGCTCAGGTTCTCTATAAATGTGAGAGCGACTTTAATTGGTTGCTTGTCTGTTAATCTCTCTTTGGAATGGACGCGCTACCAGTTCATGATAAACCCCACCTTTACAGCTGGTCTTGGCTCCAGCCTCATATTCACTGCTGACCCCCATTTATTTCCATGGTTACCTTTGAAAGGATAAAGAAACAGAAGAAGGATGTTGTGAATCTTGGTCGGTGTTGGTGCCGAAAAATACGTTATTCAGCAACCACTATTGTCATCTAACTGCCACAGATAGAATGACCTGAAAAGAACCACACCGGACAACGTTGTAAGTTTTACTCGCTGCGAGGGGGAGCAGAGAGGCCCACAGCTTCGCAGAGTTGGCTCACCTAAGTCCCAAAGTGTATGAGGACTGCAGCTCTTTTTATTGAGAAAGTTACATAAGTGCTAAGCAGTTATTTTTCATTGCGTGCGTTCTTTTAGGCAAAGATCGCACGCTTCACATAGATGATGAGGAACAGACATAGGTGCTGAGCAGTTCTGTGCATTCTTTTGGGCAAAGATCAAATGCTTCACATAGATGATGAGGAACAGACATAGGTGCTGAGCAGTTCTGTGCATTCCTTTAGGCAAAGATCGCACGCTTTACATAGATGATGAGGAACAGACATAGGTGCTGAGCAGTTCTGTGCATTCTTTTGGGCAAAGTTCAAACGCTTCACATAGATGACGAGGAACAGACTGTGTGTGTTTACTCAGAATGTGTGCTGTAGAATTCTTTATTGTCTGATAAAACCATGCTTTTGAGCCATGGTAGGAGGGACAAATGTAAACAGAGTCGTGTTCCTCATTGGAAAGAGGAAACAAGTCTTAATTAAATTATACAAAGATGTGACATTGTATTGGTAAACACTGTAGGTAAGCCTGTATGTTTTCCTTTCAGATGATCATTTTTTTAATTAATAAAATTAAGCT